GCAGTACCACCTTTGTATTTCCAAAGCATTTCGCTTAATTTATTCCCATTTGCATTTTAATAGTTCCTGTGATCCTAAGGTCTTTTAGAAACGTGAGACAGGAGAGCATGTCATCCCCATTTTACAAGCAGAGTAACAGATGCCCGGAGGCTGATGTTTTCCAGGGCCATGCAGGAAGCTTAGACAGAGAGGAGATTTCTTGACTGCCAGTACTGCCTGATAGCCAAAGACTACCTAGGGTCTGCTTGTATTAGAATCAAGGCCAGGTTGGACAGGGCTTGGGGCACCCTGGTCTAGCGGAAGGTGTCCCTGCCCATGATGGGGGGGCATGACAACGATACCATCCTCATAAGGTCCCTTCCAACCCAAGCCATTCTATGATTATTTCGTAGTGTATTTTCGTTTGCTTTTTTCTCTTAATAAATAAGGACAGTTTGACAGTCTCCCTGCTACTCAGTCACAAATTTGATAAAAATTGAAGTAAAAACCTGCGTCCGTACTGTTCTAGAGACTGCACGCGGTACTTCAGTTTAACGTGAATACTGTAGACACGGAGCTAGACTGACCTTGAGACGAGCCACACAGGCCCCCCTCTGGCTCAGACTGCACTGTGATCAATCTCCTCTGACACCACTTTCCTAGATTAAATACTTTAAAAGTCTCAACCCATCTTTGCTCATTCAAATCAGAGTTTTCTGTGCCATTTAGGCACTTATACCTGAATGTTGAGATGTTTAAAACTGTATGCGATTACCTGCTTTTGGAAGGAGCGCACAGGACATGTAAATTATGCTTCATACTCAGTTCTCATGCTCTGGGGAATAATTTAACACTGCACCCACTCATGTAATCCACATTTCATTAACTGCAGTGGAGAGAAAATGTAAATATTTGTACTGCAGTTACCGCTGTTTTCACTTAAAGCTGGTGCGGGTTTCCTTTGTTTTGTTATCTTGGTCACTCTTGGCCATAGCTGCAACAACATTATAGGTGTCAGGAGAAGAACGCTGGCTTTAGGAGACGTCCCACCGCAGGCAAAGGGCTGGGAAAGCTTCCCCTGGGCCAGTGTATCCGACTGAGGCCGCCGGCCCAGGAAGGCACGTGGAAACCGTAGAAGGAAAGCACATCCAAACTGTCACGCAGCCATCAATTTTCTTATGCTCTCCATTTTTATATCCCCCGGGGATATTCATCAACACACTTGAATCACGGTATAGATGATTATATGCCATGTATATATGGTATAAAGTGATTCTGCCTGTCCACGTGAACAATCTGGAGTTCCAGAAGCGCTGCAAGGTAGGCGGGAGTCTTTTGGTATTATAAACAACCGCGTACGAAGTACTGCGGTCTGTTCATAAAGACATCCTTACACCAATTTATAAAGACATCCTTGACAGCAAATTTGACTGGAGACACCGTTCTCTCCAGTGGTCACAGCTGGGTGCTCGGTCCTGAAATAGTGAGCACGAATTTTGAAATGTAGGGGGCCTTTTTCCCCTTAACCCTACACTCGGGCCCACCAGGGAGAGATCGGAGACTATTAAAACCATTTCACTCAGTGCTTATGGCTTTTTGTATCTGAAGATAAATAGGGGAGGGGAAATAAAAATTCGTAACGCTAGGTGTTATTGCACGCACTTTGTCTGAAGGTGGTAAGAAAGGAAATAAATAGAGAATATGCAGGTCTAAGGGGTAACGCTTCTGAAAAGAGAAGGGGGTGTGTGAGGAGCCTTGTTTTTTTTTTTCTTTGGATGGTGTCTGTTTTTGCATGCCATAAACTTTTTTTAATTTTTGAAGGAGTTGTCCTGTCTGTATTTCTAATATTTACCAATTTACTAAGCAAATGTACTAGCTTTTTTTCTGTAAATAGCAGTAAAATAGCACATACTCTAAATCACGGACCGCACGGCTTCTCAGTGTCAACCATCCCATTTCTGACAGCAACGCACATTTTTCTGAAATACAGTGAAAGCGCTAACTGCCTTTGCCATCTGAGGTACCTCTCGATGCATCCAACATCTCTGCAGAGCTTCTCCCAGTCTTTGGCTAGAGGAACTGAAGGCTCTGGGGGGGGGGTTCCCCAACTTCTGTAGGTCTGCACAGTAGGTCTGCACAGGGGTCTGTTGCATGTCCTTAGCCACCATACCATCCCTTCTCCCCGGGAATAGGTGTGCAGCTCCACAGCTGAACTCTTACTAAAGAATATCCAATTTAAATGACAAAGAACGGGATTTCCATTCTGTATACATTCCAAGCCACTCTGAAAGAGAAATCTCACAGCTGACAGCTCATTAGTCTTAAACTGTACCAGATAATGGTTCAGTGGGCTTTGAGTGGCTTGTTACTGGTTAAATATACTCAAATAACAAGCAATGTTCAGCGTCCTTCATCTCATCATGGCGGAGGGGGGGGGGAAGAAGTAATTGTTCAGGGTTGTGCTTTGTTTATTACATTTGTGTCCTGTGAACTATGAAACTCAAATATTGTCAATCCTTTCAGGAGGAAAATGAGATCCCTGCCAGTGTTTTTGCAAAAGAGCCTATTCCCAGCATTACAGAAGGAAAAGAGGAGCCTGCGGATGAGAACAAAACGCTGGAAGAAACCTTGCACACAGTGGAGCTGGGTTCAGATGATGACATGTTTCACGAGGAAGATGATGCGGATGACAGCGCGGAGGAGAAAACAGAAGAATCAAGAGCCGAGAAGCTGAAAAGATCCAGCCTCAAGAAGGTAGACAGCCTCAAGAAAGCATTTTCCCGCCAGAACATCGAGAAGAAGATGAACAAGATCAGCACAAAGATTGTCTCGCCTGAACGGAGAGAAAAGATCAAAAAATCGCTTACTGTGCATCACCAGAAATCCTCCTCTTCAAAGGGTTCAGCTTTCAAAGTATCTCCCCTCACCTTCCACGTGAAGAAAGTCCGTGAAGGAGAAAGCCCTGCTGAAGCCGAGGACAAACCAACAGACGCTACAAGCAACGAGCAAGCCGCGCACGAGGATGAAATGTCATTCGCCGACACGCACTCGGATGTGACACCTACTGCCTCGGTGACCGAGGAGGGCAAAGCAGCGGCCGATTCTCTAGAGAGGGAAGCCAGAATGGAAGGGAAGGCCATGATGAACAACAACATCGAGCTGTCCATCGTTGAAGACGATGAAGAGTATGGGATGCCTCTAGAAGCTCCTAGCCAGAAACTGTATGATGAAAGAAACAAGCCGGTCGGTGGGGAAGCAGAAGAGTCGGATGAAGAAACAACCCAAGCAGCTGTCCTGCAGATAGACCAAACAGCGTAATCGACCCAAGCCTCCCTTCGCCTTCCAGATACGCACGGTTTTACTTAGGCGAGTAACTGGTTTCTGCGACGCAGGCGGTAGTAGCGATTCCGTTTCTTCGATCCTCTTCTCTGCAGTGGTAATTTATCGCATCGTGTTGGGACACGGAGTGAACAAGGTCAATGGCACCGGCTGCACCACGCTCCGTTTTAGGCCGAGTCACTGGTGTTTGTTAATGGAGAGACGCTGTCAGCTGGCGTGAGAGACTAGGAGGAAAAAAGTATGTCCAGCAGAAGCTGGTCAGCTGGCTTTCTTACAGTTATGTCAGAGGAATGCGTGGAGAGTAGTCAAAACCCAAACCTTTCTGTTTTCTTCTCTGTCAGTATTTCACAGCACTGTGAGTAGATTTATATGTAAATGTAGAAATACCAATGAGAACATGCGATTGCGGTTTCCGTGCCAGGCTCCGTGAATACCAACGGCCTCAGTAACTGTCCCTACCCGGAGAAGCTGAAAAGTCAGTCCCATCCATTTCAGTGGGGGAAAGATTTTTGCCAGAAGCCTCTCGCTTTTCACTGAGAGGAGATGCCTGTGTTTAGGTGGAAATGAAAAGATGTTTTTCAGCCTGCCAGAGCTATGGAAATACACTAGTAACAAGCATGAATGTGTGATCAGCTTATTATACCTTTAAGGGATCAGAAATTGGAAGGGAAAAAAAAAAGAAGGAGTTTGATAGAAGCATGCAGATAGTCTGAAGAAAGTATGAAATGCTATGAAGTGCAAGAAAAAGCAAAAATAAACCCCCACAATATTAAATCCATATTCCCAGCTTAAAGAATATATACTCAGATAACACTAATTAATTCTTAGTCTTTACAGCAATATACTACCAAACTTGCACCTGCACAACTTTGTATCTCAGAGTATTTTGAAAATAGCATAATTTATCTTTTTACAAATTAGTCCATATATAGAGCTATATCTACACAGAAGAGTTAGATCATTACAGGGATGTAAGGCGAATTTTTTTCAAAAAGGTGAAGCACACTTTTAGGCATGTCTAAAGGGAACGATGCGTTATGGATTGGACTTCATGGCAGGGATGACTTTACACAAGAATGAGTCTGCAGAGCCACGGGATTTGATTCTCCGCTGATAACGTTCATCAAAGCCACCTGCCTGCCCTCAAAATTACGAGTCTGTAACTTTTCGAAATTCATTGAAAAGGAGAGGTTACAGGGGAGTTTGTTCACCGTGAATGCTCATTCCTGTCCCTTAACAAAGGTAAGGGGGAGGGGAGGAAAGGGAAGCGCAATACCCGCAACAGTTACCTTACATCCTTGTTTCTTTATGCAGTGGGTTATTTTGGGGTTTTTTTTATACATATATAAAATTCTACTGATACTTAACATTGCACTAAAAGGTTGCTTCCTTCAACGTGTATTTAGAATCACAGATTACAGGGGAAATAAAAACTACAGCAAAAATACCATTATGAAATGATTACCAGATCCTACTCCACGGGGGTAATATCTGTAACGAGTAAATCACACTGGAAGTTAGTCAATAAGGGATTAGTGTAGGCGACTACTGTTAAGAATTAAGCTCTTAAGTGTATGGTATCATATAGAAGAGACTGTAAGAAAAATCATGCCATAACCCGTGCAGCTATATTTCTATTTTGTATTAACTACAGTGGATTTCAACCGTTTTTACTTGTAACTAACTACAAATATGGCAAATAAAAGCATAACATAAAACACAGTCACGTCAGTCTTTGGGACAAGCAGCCTGAGAAGCTGGCAAAGATGAAAAGTGAAGGTCAAGCGTTTATTACTTCAGTTCATATCCCCGTTGTACCTATAGCATTTTCTTTCTCGTCCTCGGCTGTTATTTAGCAGCGCAAATGCCAGTGCTCAGGCTTTGCTGTCCGGATGCTCGTCAGATCTCTGGCACATCTGAACGTAGTCAGGCTCTTTCCCAAATCCGCTAGCTCCATCTGCGTTATTTTATTGGGCTGAAGCATACTTCTAATACTTTAAATAGTCCTGAAAGCATATTTATATGGAAGCGTGTATTCTGTTTATGCACAAAGATAAATTCACGTCTTCTAGAGTGCCACATAGTCTTTAGGAGGCTTAATTTTCCTGACAGACCGAAGAACGCACATTTAACCTCTGTGTAACAGCTGTCAGCTTCCCGCAGCCGCCCGGCGATAAGCAGGAACCCCAGCATCGTGTTTACACATCGCTTTCAGATACGCCTGGTTTGTTTGTCCTGCTAAGCTCTAGCTCAAACAATACCCCTGGCCACGCTTTACCCAGCTTTAGAGATGCTGAAATGAATCCCGTGCGCAGTGTTTGAAGAGCATTACAGTGCTGTCCAGTAAAACCATTGGAGATGCAGATACTGAGCATCTGTGCGAAGGAGTTTGAATATCCACTTCAGGATACAGCGCACACCCAGCCGTCAGCTGCAGGACTAGAATTCACAGAATCACAGAATCACAGAATAGTAGGGGCTGGAAGGGACCTCTGTGGGTCATCTAGTCCAACCCCCCTGCCGAAGCAGGGTCACCTACAGTAGGCTGCACAG